AGCCCCGAGGATCTGGAACCGCTGGTCAGAGGTAATACAGCTCAGACTTCTTTCAAAGTTTCTATATTCTCTTTTGTGTGTTCTTTGCTTTTTATGTGAAGCTCTTTGTAACTTAGTTTTCTCATCAATAAAGATATTATGATGCTGAAGAATGATCATTGCTGTGAGGCAGATCTAAAGTTATATAAAGTGTCTAATTGTACGTTGACTTTCAAGCTGATTTATGAAGGTTTGTCCTTAATGGACGTGGTTATACTGGGAAGAGTCAGTCATTCACACACTGCTGGAGTCAGTGTGACTTAATAGATTAGACTTTATAGGTAGAGAGATAGATCAGACCTGAAGTGAAACCAAATCAACTAAAAAGTCTGGACCAGTTTACTTTTACGTCTTTAACAGTGCGTCCTTGTTGTTGTTTCAGATGAGTTAGTGTCTACACAGCGGAGCGGTGTTGCAGACAACAGATGACGGACTGAGTGTCCTCTGGAGATAACACTGTGCCTGTTATAAGCTGCCTATAGGCAAAGACACAGGAGGCAAATGTACAGACATTCCTCAGTCAAGTAGCAAAGATACGGGTGTAAAAAAAGACTCAAGTAAAAGTATAAAAGTACTCTCAAAGCTAACTGACACTTTAGATACGGTGGACTCTCCCTCTCTCGTCTGATTTATGTTTTATGCTGTGTGTCTGATATGATCCGGTCTTGATGTTGGGAAGGCGTGCAATGATGCAAATAAAAAACACTGATAATTATTGCCTGTTTTGAAACTGTAAAGAGTTTAAATACAAATATTTGTGTAAAGAAACTAGATGAATTGTCAATCTTGTACATATATAAAGTTAATCAGCTCTTCCATCAGGTAAAACACTGAAGAAGACTGTTGTAATGAATCAGTAAAGACCTTTAACGGTACTGAAGGCCAATACGTTTTTTCATTGAACCAGATCAGTGACATCTGTACCACAGTTCATCATCAAACAGCTGATTAAAGCTCAGCAGCAGTGAAACCTACCCAAGCTCGGCTTTTTCGACTTCTTGGATCCCCCCGATTTTGAGCTGAAGGCTGCAGCTGAAGGAGCTCTTTTCAGAGTGCTCCAGCTCTCAGCCTGCAAACACTGACAACACACACACACATAAAACATTACATTCAGCTAAAAATACAGAATACAGACAGAATTGCATAAAAAGTTCCCTAAACAGGGAATAATCTGCTCAAAATCTATTAAAATCTCTGGTTTAACACAAACTTCCTGAGTTCACTGTCAGTTTAAATGTCTCGAAGTTACAAAGAAAACACCTAAAATATTGAATATGCATCTTTTTTGGAAAAGCTACTGTGAAATCATATTTTTTTTATTGGTACTGGATTTGTTGGCACTTTTACTCATCATCTTATTTATAGTCTTTTAATCCATCTATAAAATGTTTCACCAACAATTAATAACTTCTGAATTATCAATAATCTGTAATAATTAGGAATATATGAAATTAAATAGGATTTTTCTAACCTCTGCAGTCAGTCAGATCCTCAGTAATCGTCTTTATTTAAACATAATTACCTACTTACTTTAAATATTTGAACTGTTACTGATTAATAAAACTATAGAAATACAGAAGGATGCGACCGATGAGCTGCAGTTGAGTTTCTTTAAAGCTCAGATATTGACGACCTGTAGTGGCGTTCAGGTGATTTCTGCAGCTCAGTTTGAACACGAGCGTCTGCAGACACAGCGGGAGGTCGAAGAGATCACCTGATTTCATTCCAGACAACACAAAGCGTCTTAATCTGCCGCTCAACTAATGACCTCGCTGCTCCTCTGATAACACTGCAGATACATGTGGACAACTTTTATAACTTCCTCTGCATTTTGACTTTAATACTGTTTATTCTTCATCATCATCATCATCATATCAGCAAACACTGGAGTGGACTTTACCTCCATACTGTACTGGTGAGGTTTTATAGAATATAACATTTAGTGAACATCCACTCTGTCGGACACTTTTTTTGATACTACAGTGAAGAAGTGTTTTTATTAAAGCAAACATTTATGGATTTTTGAGACTTATTCACAAATAATTGATATGGTGGCTGATAGAGTGAAATATTTGACCTGGAATCTGTAGATTTTGCACCGATATGACTACAGAAAGCAGCTTTCTTACACAAATAACTTGATTTAAAGTTAAATATTCTTTAAAATGTTAATAATTTAACATATAATGTACATGTCAAAGCAGTAGTTCATTGAGTAAACTGACTCAGTGACATATTTTAGGGATTTTTCATATTATATTTAATGTTTAACAATAACAGTAGAGAACAGTGAAGATTTTATTAAAGAGAGTTTTGACATTTTAAGCACTTTCTACAATTCTCCATCTATATTATTTATTTATTTAATTTCTATCATATCTATTTGTTTTCTATTAATGTTTCTGATATTCCACCAACCTGCCAGTTACTGACTTGTATGGCTGAATCTGTCCCATTTTAAATTAATAAACCTCAAAACAATGCAGCCTATATTTCATATTATTTCATATGTTAAAGAATATTTAACTAAAGAAATAAAAGGTCCAGTTTGTAGGATTTAGTGGCATCTAGTGGTTGAGCTGCAGACTGCAGTTATTTCTGACAATAGATCCTCCTCAATGTGACTCACTGGAGCTTTAAATATTCTTTAATGAAGTTATTTGTTTAAGGAAACAGCACATTTGCAGTCATCGATGCAAATTCTATCTATTTTCATTCCAGCTCAAAAACTCACTA